TAGAACTATTAAGCACTTAGAGGAGGGGTGTCGAACTCATTTGTTACGAGAGCCAGATCTGACATAAATGAGACCTTGTTGGGCCGGGCCATGTGTGTCATAAAATGTAATGCCAGGTAGTGGAGATATAAACTTTATAAAGGACAAACACAAAGGGTTTGTTTTTTTTACTTAAAATAAAAACATGCTTAAAACATCCGCACTCCTGCAATATTTTGTTTATTTAACGGTGTCTGATAACTGACACCTCTTGCTCTGAATTATTGCATCCAAATGTCTGCTGTTGCACTCTTGAGTGTGCTGTTCAGGTGTGCATCTGTAAGCTGCAAACCTACGATGAGGCAGCAGCGGCAGAACTGGAAGAAGCAGAAGGCAGCCAGTTCCACTGCGGGCCTGATAGAAGCCCTCCAGGGGCCTGATCCGGCCCCCGGGCCATATGTTTGACACCCCTAACTTAGAGGGCCGAAGCCTGCTGAGGGGAAATCAGTATGGATTCTGGAAAGGGAAGTCCTGCCTCATCAACCTTTTGGAATTCTTTGAGAAAGTGAACAAGTATGTAGACAACAGTGACCCAGTAGATATTATACACCTCAACTTTCAAAAGGCTTTTTGATAAGGTACCTCACCAAAAGACTCCTGAGTAAATGTAGCAGTCATGGGATAAGATGACAGGTTCTCTTATGGATTAAAAACTGGCAAAATGGCAGGAAGCAAAGAGTAGGAATCAATGGACCGTTCTCATAGTGGAGCAGGAAAGCAGTGGGTATTGGGGCTGATACTATTTATTCATCAGTGATCTGGAACTAGGGGTGAGTAGTGTAGTGGCCAAGTCTGCAGATGACACAAAATTATTCAGGATGCTGAAAACCAAGAGGACCTCCACAAACTGGGTGAGTGGGCGACCGTGTGGCAAATGACGGTCAATGCTGGTTAAGTATAAGCGTAGAAACACCAACTTCAAAGTATAGGCTAATGGGGTCTGAGGTTGCTGAGACTGAGAAGGAAAAGGATCTCGGGGTCGTGGTAGATAGCGCGATGAAAGTGTCAACCCCCAGTGTGCTGCAGTAGTGAAAAAGTCAAACTCTATATTAGGGATTATTAGGAAAGGGATTGAGAATAAAACAGGTGGTATTGTAATCAAGAAGAAAAATTGGATTTATACCCCGCCCTTCACTTGGGAGTCTTAGAGCGGCTTACAATCGCCTTCCCTTCCTCTCCCAACAACAGACACCCGGTGAGATAGGTGGGGCTGAGAGAGCTCTGAGAAAACTGTTCTCGAGAGAACAGTTCTGAGAGAACTGTGACTGACCCAGGGTCACCCAGCTGGCTGCATGTGGAGGAGTGGAGAATCAAATCCGGTTCTCCAGATTAGAGTCCACTGCTTTTAATCACTACACCAAACTGGCTGTCTGCAAGTTTGCCCCTGTATAGATCTATGGTATGGCCTCATTTGGAGTACTGTGTACAGTTCTGGTCACCATATCTCAAAAAAGACATTGCAGAGCTGGACCAAGTTCAGAGGAGGGCAAGCATGATGACCTGGGGGGTGAAGCACGTTCCCTACGAGGAAAGGCTGAAGAGTCTGAGGCTTTTCAGTTGAGAAGAGACGACTAAGGGGGGGACATGATAGAGGATTATAAAATTACGCATGGGATGGAGAGATTTTTCTCCATCCCTCTCCCAAAACACTAGAACTTGAGGGCATCCATTGAAACTGATGGGCAGTAGGTTCAGGATGGACAAAAGAAAATACTTTACACAGGAAGTGATGAAAATGTGGAATTTGCTACCAGAGGATGTAGTGATAGCCACACGAATAAACAGCTTTAAAAGGGGATTAGACAGATTCGTGGAGGATAAGTCTATCAACGGCTACTAGCCATGACTGAGGGGAACCTCCGCATTCGGAGGCCAGGAGGCAACACCAGGGGAAGGCCTCGGCCTCTCTGCCCTGTTGTTGGCCCTCCAGAGGTCCTGGTCAGCCACTGTGTGAGTCAGGACTAGATGGACCATCGGTCTGATCCAGAAGGACTCTTCTTATGCTCTTATATATCAATAATAAGAGGATGCTAATGGAAGGAGAACGTACATCTTTTCGAAATCTCTTTATCCATGGTTGAATCTGTACCACCAATATATATATTTCTAATTTACAAGTACAAGAGTCTGTCAAAAATTGCTGCTGTTCTAACAGTCAGCTAGAGGCCTTCAAGTTCTATGATGTCTCAGTACACATTTTTATTTGTGGTTATTTAACTACAGAACACAGGGAAAAGGTATACAACCTAAGTACCTCTAGGCTCTGGCCATATTTCATTTCTATTGAGGTTTCACTAGAATCAGATCTGCATCCATTCTGTTTCTTTCACAGGAAAACATTTTTAAGACAGGGCATTACTCACTATCAACTTCCAGATTAAGTATAGCGGCAGTAAAATCAAAGAATAGATAAAATATTAGTTATGGAGGCAACAGGTATTTTCTATTGAACTTTGTTTTGGAAAAGAAAAGTCTTAAAGTGCTCTTTTCATTCAGCTTGTGTCAATGTAGCTCATGGGCATCCAATGAAGCTGACGGGCAGCAAATCCAGGATGGGCAGTTTTTTGCAGAAATCCTTTAGGCAACAAGTGATTAAAATGTAGAATTCACTACCAGAGGATGTAATGATGGCCACAAAAATAAACAGCTTTAAAAGGGGATTAGACAGATTCATGGAGGATAAGTCTTTCAATGGCTACTAGCCATGGTGGCTGAGGGGAACTTCCACATTCAGAGGCATTAAGCCTCTTACATCAGGGGAAGGCCTTGGCCTCTATGTCTTGTTGGACCTCCTGAGGAACCAGTTGGCCACTGTGTGAGACAGGATGCTCGATTAGATGAACCACTGGTCTGATCCAGCAGGGCTCTTCTTATGTTATTAAAATGTGGAATTTGCTGCCTGAGGATGTAGTGATGGCCACAGGAATAGATGGCTTTAAAAGGGGATTAGATGGATTCATGGAGGAGAAATCTATCAGTGCCTACTAGCCAGGGTAACTGAAGGGAACCTCCATGTTCAAATGCAATAAACCTCTGAATCCCATTGCCAGGAGACAACCTTGGCCTCTAAGCCCTGCTGTTGGACCTCCAAAGGAATGGGTTGGCCACTGTGAGACCAGGATGCTGAACTAGGTAGACTACCAGTCTCAACCAGCAGGGCTCTTACGTAGCTCGAAACCTTAATCAACATAAATTTCCCTGCCATTCTGAAGAGCATTTTGTGTGTGGGGTAGAGATTGCTGGCAATGGGACATTAGACTGCCCCCCGCCGCCACCTGCCTCCTCAATGCTGATTCCCAAAAACAAGTTGCTAAGCAGGGCTTTATATTCTTCAAACAATGAAGAAATGCCTTAAAGTGTTTTGGAGAGTGGAGAACCCAAAAAACATAATGTCATTCCTATGGGGAATTGGAAAGAACTCTACATTCATCAACAGCACAAGACCAATAATGCTAAACAATTGACATTGCAGTATTTAAAATAAAAGGAACACATTGTTCAAAAAAGTTCCAAACAACAGGATCAAGCTACTCTACATGGTATTCGTTTTATGTCAAAGTGGATTATACAAGGCATTCTTCTCTGGATGTATTTGTTACAGTTATACTTAAGGGTTATGGCAAACAACATTATAGTCATCTTAGAAAGATTACAATCAAAGCAAGCACAATGGAAGCTCTTGGCAGAAAAACCACAGCAATCCCCTTCTGTGTTGGAGAGAATATAAATCAAAACTATAAATAGACCCAAATATTTCTACACAGTAACTTCTACAAGAGTGATCTAGCCGAGATTTAGCACTCCGGATGGTTCTCAGCAAAGGAAAGAGCGGATGCCAACCTCTTGCCATTAATACAAAAAAATCTAGTAGTAAAATGTCTTCAAAAGGAGGGGAATTATCTCTTTGTCATTTACTCCACGTTTCATAATGTGGAGACATGGAGCGGTACTGTGGAAAGTCACAATTTCCAGATCCTCGAGTGTTTTTGTTAAAAAGTGAGTAAAGTGAAAAATCAGCATTTCCGATGGACGCCACGAGTTATGTGGCAGGAATCTGCGGCAATCCAAATTCATCCACCAACGCGCCATCCTGTGTGAGAGAGGAAAAAGCAGTTTAATGGTGGAAGTCTTTCCCCCGTGTCCAGCTACTGAGAAATATTCCAGATTGCCATCAGAAGCATTTAATCCTGTGGCTCAATCCTGAGACATCTCCACAACTAACAGCAGTCTGTGTAATAACTCTTCATAAACCATTTATTAACATTTGCTGTTGAGGAGGCTTACAAGACTTAAAAATGGCCTTGTGACATTAGCTCTGATTTGCAAAGATAATGGAAGATATCTACAGATGCTTAACAGGAGAAGCACATAGCTAGAAACATCTACAGGAACTAAAACCGAATTTGCAGGTGTCAAATGAAAAATGTACTTGATTTCCTTACAGACATGCATAGAGGAGTATACCGAATCATTTAAAGAATATTCTCCCACTGAAAGCAGAAACACACACATATGGATTCTGGAGGTTTTCTGTTATCTATTATTATATAATTTTAAATTAACTAAGCAGTTAATCACTGATGTGGTATTAAAAGTTAAACATTAGAAAGGTGAATACTCAGTTCAGGCATCACATCAGACCCAACCCTGGTATAAGCATAACAGGCAAACTATCATTTAGTTTACTGCATGTTAGTTTGCCCCGGGGCAAACAGCCACACTTCTCCTCTGCAGTTTCCTGCCCGTGTGCCCTAAACCATTTATTAACATTTGCTGTCTTTTAAAACACCCAGTTGAGGAGGCTTACAAGACTTAAACATGGCCTTGTGACATTAGCTCTGAATTGCAAAGATAATGAAAGATGGATAGATATCTACAGATGCTTAACAGGAGAAGCACATAGCTAGGAACATCTACAGGAACTAAAACCGAATTTGCAGGTGACTTCCAACTATGGTTTCCAATTCCAACATGCCAGCGATGTGCAAATAATGCCTTGTGATTTGGTGTGACATCTGAGCTGGCCCCTGACTTCTCCATGGCTTGATGAAATGTCTGAGTAAAAGCCTTAACATCTCTTGTAGTCCACTAGAAGACTGCCCAGAGCAGTTCTGATCAAAAAGCAAATCTCTTGTGCTACTTGTTCCTCAGGACTGAGATGCGATAAGCTGGAAAAGTATTATTCTAAGAAGGGCAGCAAAAATATAAAAATTTATAATCTTAATAGCATAATTTCAAGATGGACTGTCACCCTTCTCTAAATATGGTTCATCTGTTGACACACTTTTAGTTTTAACAATCAATTTTCCTGCTCAGCTTCTAGCATAAAAAGTGACAAGGTCATCGAGAACACGGAAAGCCCAAAGACTTTGATGGAGGCTGCAATGCTAAATATATTCAGTATTATATTGGCTTACCTTGTTTTTTGATTCAGTCGGCATGCCTTCAGGAATTGTGGGGACAGATGCTGCTTCATCCAGATAGGAACTATCCTCATCAGCTAGAAGTTCATCCCCCAGAGCCTCCAGTTCTGAAATTGTTAGTACACAGAAGTCCCCTTTATATCTGACACAAAAATTGAGGGCAGGTGAACTTGCAAAACACACAGAACACCACTTAAAATTGGCATCTGCAAAGAGTTGCACTCTGGCTATCACACAGCTAGTCCCTCCCATGATGGCAGCATAGAGAGACTGTTATACTTTCTGGGAGGCAGGACAGAGCCAAGAAGCTGGCAGACCGGGTGGGGGAAGGGAGGGGGGGGGCTCCTCAATTACTTTCCCTTCCATGCAGCAGGGCCTTCATCCACACTACAACCCCCCCCCAACCCTTTTTTCAAGGCTTACAGGTGGCTACAATGTGGGGGAAATCCTCTTCCGCCAGCCTCTCACACTGGCCCTCCGTGAAACTGAGCCTGTTGTGCAAAACACCCCAAGTTGCTGCCCTGCCTTTGACCAGTTTATGCACTGAGGGGAAGAAACAAAAAGCTTCTAAGGCTTATGCTTGCAACTCTGAAGCTGGAATGCAGGACTGCAAACCACAGTATGGTCATAAATGAAGCTCCCTTCAGATCACACCAAGCCACAATCTGCCTTTACGGTAGCTTAGAACCCAAAACATGGTATGAGCTTCCAAACAGACAGCAAGCACACTCCCATCTTTGTCTCAATGGCGCAAAGGAAGCCTCTGGTGGCAAAGCTACAGCCACACATATGGCTTGTTCACTCAGATCTCATGCTTAGAACGAACTATGGTTTGCAAGACCACTCTGAAGCATTGCTTCTGATCCTGGTTTAATGACCAATGACAAACCACAGTTTATTAATCCAAACATGACACCAAACCCTAGTTAAACTTCCTTAACCTTGGTATGGCACAATGTTTGCGCTAAGGCTTACTTATCTGCTGTCTTGTCCACATTATTTGCAATTTGTTCCCGATAATGAAGAACCCAATGGTTGCATTTGGACATCATGATAAATTGTGCCCCGAGTCTGTTTCAGTTTGCTGTGATGTCCCAAATGTAGACAGTTCAAACAAACAAATTTCAAACTTGAGCTTATAACTGGTTTGATGTCTGAATTCACATGTTGTTGAAAAGCGCAACCCTGTGGCCATGGGAGATGGCAACAGAAGGATGTTCCTCATTCAGCCCTTGAGGCACCAACGTTCATAAGGTAAAGATCCAAAATGTTTCCCTTTTTGGTAGAATCTGTTCCATCTGGAGTATAGGAGCAGACAACTTTTCTATTAGCCAGAATCTTAGTTGTTTGTCCAAATGTTTCAGGGCCAAGAAATGTTTTGCCACGGGCAAAAAGCAGGGAAACGGTGATTGTGCACTAACTAGGGTTTGTTGCTTACTTCTGGAAGGCTAACCAGATTAGCTGTAAAACAACTGCTTGCTTTACAAGTTTATTGTGATATCTGTAGACAGCCAGTCTTATGATCCTGAGAAAGTGGACCTAGAAACTATCTGTAACTCACCCGCCTCCAAGTCATCTTCATCGATCTCTGGGGTTCCGTAACTACGACCCAGGGCTTCTTGGACCTCACCAGCTTCTTCCATCATATCCTCCAGCTGATCTTGCAAGTCCTGGTATTATAAAATGCAGACTCAAATGACAGCCAGCACAAGCCCTCCTCCTCAGCTACCAATGTTTTCAACACCGGTTGGGCTTCTTTATCTACCTGATGTAAACTTCCTTCCGAGTTAACTCGTTCAATTGTCCAGTTTTCAAATCCTTATAATCACTCATTTTGCTTTTCTCTCCTGTCCCCAGAAAAGTCTTAGGCTCAAAAAGCATCAAAGTGGCCATCCAACTCCTACAAGATGTCATGTATATGCTAATTATTCCTCAAGACTAGCGTGGAAATAAGATTCATTCCAAAATGACTGCAGAGGTATAAAAGAGGGTACCTGGTTCAAGCCTTACAAGCAAGAGCTGACAAAAGATTGTGCAACTGAGCCATACACAAAACTGTCACAGTGACGCTCACCTCAATCTGATCGATTTTTACGTGCTTGTAAGCTTTTTTCATTTCTTTCACTCCCAGTTTCATAGCTTCAACCTGCAAAAGGAACCAGAGAGCATTTACAATCATTTATGGTGCACACAGACTGTAGAAGTCAAAACTGAAGCAGAAAGCAAAGTTACCGTCGTTTTTGTGTCTTTCAGAGACTGGATGGTGTAATTGGCTTGTTCCATATTGAAAGACTGCTGGGCAAGGTTATCGCGCTGGTTTTCATACCTGGGTCCCAAGCAGACAGTCGTCAGACCCTGAGCCATCAACATCATTCATGTACAAAATTTGTATCCCACCTTTCTGCCCTTACAAGCTAAAACATACATGATAACATCACATTATAAAACCATTAAAATCAACCTCCCCTAAAACATACATGATCAACCTCCCTCCCAAATGTAAATCATTAAAACAATAAACAAAAGAGTTTAAAAAATAGTTAACTTACGTACAAAACAAAAACATTGGTTAGGAAGGAGGGAATCACTGAGGGAATGCCAAACAAAACAAAGCAGTCTTCAACCGCTGGCGGGAGATGGCAACAGAAGGGGAACAGAAGAATCTCCCGGGGGAGAGAGTTCCCCAGGCAGGTTCATAAGGGATTAGGCCGTTCTTCAGGTATGTTGATCCCAAACCGAATAGGATTTTGAAGGTCAAGCAGAGCACCTTGAATTGAGCCCAGAAACATGTCCCTCCTGAACTACTGCGATAGGGTCTGTTCTACTTTCCGGAGAGAGACGTTTCACTAAGTGCCTGCACAATACCTGAGGCCTAGTCCCCAAGATTTAGGGTAGGGATGGCTAACTGGCAGCCAGCAGGCATGTAAACAGCAGTTCCCAAAGCAATTTTAGTCCATTTGCCTGCAAACTGGTTTCATATTCTGAGAAACGGAGACCGCTCACCAATGTTCCCTCTAAGCTGTGGAGTCTTATGTGCAAAAATTCTACTTTGTGAGCAACTGGCATTAAAGCTGTGAGCCAGCGATTTGGCTACTGCAAAAATTAGTTTGATCTGGAGCCGTCCTTCCTGAGCTAATGAGCAATTTTAGTCCATTTGCCTGCCATTCCACTGGTGAGGAAAAATGCAAACTGGTTTCATGTTCTGAGAAACGGAGACCGCTCACCCTTTAATATTAAGAACACAATGCTGGATCAGGTCAATGGCTCATCCAGTCCAACACTCTGTCACACAGTGGCCAAAAATACCAAGTGCCATCAGGAGGTCCAGCAGTGGGGCCAGGACACTAGAAGCCCTCCCACGGTTGCCCCCCCCCCCAAGCACCAAAAAGACAGAGCATCCCTTGCCCCAGACTGAGAGTTCCTATCTATACCTTGTGGCTAATAGCCACTGGTGGACCCCTGCTCATGGCTCAACTGTACCTCAGGAAATCTACAACTTCAATGGTCATAATTGCTAGTAATGTCAGTGTTATAGCAGGAGGCTGGAACTGCAGCACTGTGCAGAGAACGGTCAGATTCTTTCTAGCATCATGATGTTAATGTTTCACAGCGCTCACCCAAAGTGCAAACTCAAAAAGCACATTCCTCTGCTTACAGTGTGGCAGATGGTGTTTACGAGGCAGGTTTTCCATTTCTATAAGCAAAGCACTGGCCACACACAAAGGGTATATAATCCAAGTGCTTCTCCTAGAACAACTCTGAATAGATTACTTACAGATGAGCGAGGAACATGGCAGGGACACTGATCAGCCCGACCAAGAGCCTTATGCCTAAGCCGCTAAGACACAGTAAGAAGCGCAAACAAGGCAGGCCCGGCTTGCTTCCGAAACACGACTACAGCACGTAAAGCCGTCTCTCTATAGACTTCCAGACATAAACTAACTTCAGACCCACAGCCAATCTGCTTGCCACTCATACATGCCTGCACAAAATAAATTCAGAAACTTGCACAAGGTAAGAGGATTAATTCCAGAAGCCCACAATTCCTCTCTCTCCCCTCCTTCTGGTGATTCCCCCCCCCCAACACACACAAATACAGAGTCTTCTGCTTTGGGCAGGGAGTCGTGAGCTGCCCTGGTAAAAAGGTAAAGGTTCCCTTGCTTGAAAGCCAGTCGAATCCGACTGTAGGGTTGCGGTGCTCATCTCCGTTTCAAAGACGAAGAGCCAGCGCTGTCTGAAGACGTTTCCATGGTCATGTGGCCAGCATCCAACCGGTGCTGAGGGCGCTGCACTGGCTGCCAATGGCGTTCCGGATACGCTTCAAGGTGCTGGTTATGACCTTTAAAGCCCTTTATGGTCTGGGACCTGTCTACCTGTGGAACCGCCTTTCCCCGTACGTTCCCCCGAGAGCACTGAGATCTACGTCGCAGGACCGGCTAGTCCCCCCTGGCCCTAGGGACGCCAAACTAACAACTACTAGAACTAGGGCGTTCTCTTTGGCCGCACCAATATTATGGAATCAGCTCCCTCATGAGATCTCCGGGATCTTTGCCAGTTCCGGAGAGCGGTGAAGACGGAGCTATTCCGCCAAGCATTTAACAACCCAGACCAAGCATGATAGCACTTTATGCCGCCATGGGTATGTTGTACTGTGTGTAAACTGTGATTTTATTGTACTGTTATGGATTGTTTTAGAGGCATTGTTTTATTGGTTTTAATCTGCTAGGTTGGCAGGAGCTGGAACTAGAGACGGGAGCTCACTCCGTCATGTGGCACCCGGGTCTCGAACTGCTGAACTACCGACCTTCCACAGCCTGCAGTTCGGCATCTTAACCACTTGAGCCACCGCAGCTCTGAGCTGCCCTGAGCCGGGTATAAATCTGGGAGCGGGGAGGGCGGGGTATAAATCCAACAAATCAAATAAGGTGGAGGCAGGCTCACCATTACGCAGCCAGCAGCCATGTACATGTACAGGAAGAGGAGAGGAGAGGGCTCACACGCCATCCAGCCTTAGTCAGAGAGGCCGGAGGGAGGAGCTGGACTGCTGGCTCTGAGCTGCCACTGCTCTCCTACCCAGCCGTTGCGTGCTTGGGGTGGCATGCACCGTCTCCCATTTTATCCTCAAAACAGTCCTGCAAAGACGGCTTGGCTGGTCCAAGGTCACCCACGGCTGACTGGGGAGCGGAACACAGATCTCACCAGCAGTGTTCCCTCTAAGCTGAGTGAGTGTGAGCCAGCTCACCGTTTTTTAGCCTCCAGCTCACACATTTTTGTCTCAGCTCAGGAAGGAGTGCTCCAGAGCAAACTGATGTATGCAGCAGCCAAATCGCTCGTTCAAAACTTTAATGCCAGGAGCTCACAAAGTAGATTTTTTTGGCTCAGAAGACTCCACAGCTTAGAGGGAGCATGGCCCACCAAGTCTTTGTCCAGTACTGTAACCACTGCCCCAGGCTGGCGCTCCCTCCGGTTCTCTTCAACTGCTTCTAAGGACCCTGGCTTCTCCTCCTGTCATCTCCCTTCTGGAAACCTCCTCTCTGTGCCTGCCTGCTGCTGAGCAGCAGTTGCAGAACGGAGACTGGAGCGACGGTCAGTGCTGGGTCCCGCCACGTGCGTACATAGCGAAGAGTGGAGTTGGACATATTACAGGGCAGGAGGCACCCCATTATAGCAGTGCAATACGGGGGGGGGGGGGAATACTTCTTTCACCA